CCCCCCTAAGCCCCCGCTGCTCATCAAGCGCCAAGCGCCCTTCTTTGTTGCATCTTCCAAGGGGGACAGAGAGAAAGGGAGTGATCGAAAACTCGAGATAAGTCGAGATGGCCTCGAGTTCTCCGAGATAAAATGGCCAATTTGTCTTTCCGGCATTGTGACTGATACGCTGCTGCCCGCCCGTCCAGGTGACTCTTTCTAACTCTTCGCTACGCTTCTGTGGCGCTGCCTGATGGCTCGCCCCGTCTCTCTCGCACGCGCGCACTTCGTTGTCTCCCCGGGGACGAAGGGCTCTGCGAGGTGAGAGGGAAGAGGTGCGGGGTGAGGGGAGGCCCTCCGCATGGGCGTGCTGTGCACCTGGCAGGGCAGGTGCTGCGCCCAGGACCTGGACCGTCGCGTGCAGGTCCTTCCGGCCGCTCCCGTTGCCCCCCCCCCCCCCTCCCTCCGCAGTCACTTAGTTTCAATTATCGAAATAATTACCGGGGGCCGGCCAGCGCCCCGCAGGACCCGCAGGACCCGCAGGACTCTTTGAATAAACAAACGAGACGTCCGTTTGTCTTGCTGTCGATGAAAACCTGACCCCGGCAGGGAGAGAGAGTGAGAGGGTCTGAGAAGCAGGAACCGTCTTCTGGAGCTGGCCAGCAGCAGCGGACCGCTTTGCGCCCGATGTCGCTGCGCTGTGCAAAGAGAACGTTAATTGTTTAAAATTGTAATAATAACAATAATAATGGGCGCCGTAATGACGGTCGTCGTAATAAAAGGGGACAACAATAACGAGAGGGCGGCCAGGTGGGGGGCGTGTGCGGCGAGCGCAGCGAGAGAAAACAATTATTATAGGTGCGGTGCGTTTGAGTAGGTGTTGGTCGCGTTGTGTGTTTTTCCAAGAATGATTCGAGCGGCTGGCATGATGGTCCAAACGACGGTCACCCTTGACGAAACGAGCGACACTTTTTACCCTCTCTCGCAGAGACAGTCGTTCGTCAATCTATGTGCATCGTGACGTCAACTGGCGGTCCTCGTCCAGTGTCGAATAGTGCGCGATGCATCCACGCGGAGATGTAGAGGGATGCAAGAGGGGCGTAGGTAGGGATTTCGTGGGGGGGGGGGGATTCCTCTCTGGCCGGCCGCGTCGCCTCGCTGCCGCCGCAGCGCCTTGAGCAGTCAGTCCATGTCGTCTGCCCCGCTCGCTCCTCTCCACCGCCTTTTTCGAAAAGAAAGCTCAGACGCGCATTCGCACGCCCGCTATAAAACACTCTTTACGGCCCCGTGCGCTGCACGCCCCGCCCCGCCACGCCCCGCCACGCCCCGCCACGCCCCGCCACTCCCCACCACGCCCCACCACGCCCCGCACCCAGCGCCACGTCCGCGCCGAGGCCCCGTACCGTCCGCGCCGGCAAAGTCCGAGGGCCGCCACCACAGATACGGTCCAGATATGAAGGGGAGAGAGAGAATGAAACAATAAAAGTTTCGCGAGTGTTCGGGCAGCAGCCACCTCGACGTACAGTGCGGTGGTGGGTGGGTGGCATGCGGGGCGCGCGCGTGTGTGTGAGAGGGAGAGAGGGTATGGGGTGGGATTGCAGCGGATTGCAGCCTCGAGGCTCCTCCGCTGCTGTGCCAGTAATGAAACGATAATCCCCTTGGTTTTGTGTAGAGCTGCAGTAGACCAGTGGTGAGGCTGGAGGGAGGGTTTGTGAGGGGGGTGGGGGGTCTAGATCGAGGTGACAGAAGGGGTGTGTAGCCGTGCAGCCTTAGACTTTCATCAACCTGTTTTTTGCTTTGTGAAAATTTAAGTGGACTACAAATCCCAATGTTACAACAACCAGGACAAATTTCTCACACTTTATTTCTTGCGAACACTGTAAAAAGCTTATGAACTTAATACTTTGCAACGTTACGAACAATTTTCGTTCTTTGTATTGCAAAGAAATTGTTCGTATTGCAAAGCGATTGTTTGTAAGGCTCGACAGGGTCTTACGAACAATCGGTTTGCATTTCGAACTTTTTGTTCTTAAGCTTACGATCGTTCGAACAATTAGTTCGTAATACAACGCTTCAAAATCCTTCGTAAGCTACGAATGTTTTGGTTTGCATTACGAACCTTTTGTTCGTAAGCAATTTACAGTGAATTCCCACTGCTATGAAAATACCCTACTGTTGGTTATATTCGAGTTCAGTAAAGACAAAAGTGTAAAACTGGAAAACTAGCATGCACATAATAGTGTTAAATTCTATGGTGCGCCCTCTGCGGTGTTGCATTGGAAATTAGAATATTGAATGGTTCTACAGTAAATTTGAACACTATGAAGTGTCCAAAGCTATGGCCGACCCTTAAGTTGAATTGAACTTAAACACTTGTTTGTGTTCAAATATCCAGTCAAACAACTTAGTGTGCAACATAGTGTTGAGCACCGC